TGTTTGGTTGTGGATCTCTGCATCTACTTCCACATGGTGTTGTTTCTTTTTTTTTTTTGGTTTTTCGAGACAGGGTTTCTCTGTGTAGCTTTGCGCCTTTCCTGGAACTCGCTTTGGAGACCAGGCTGGCCTCGAACTCACAGAGATCCGCCTGGCTCTGCCTCCCAAGTGCTGGGATTAAAGGCGTGCGCCACCACTGCCCGGCCCTGGTGTTGTTTCTTAAAGTCACATATTCATTTCCTTTTTCACTGTGACACTGGGAATTGAATCCAGGGCTTTGAGGATGCTAGGCAGGTGTTCTGGTGACCTGTGCCCCCAGCCCTTGCATGCTGACTTCTACATTAGGTCATTCAGATACCAAAAAGAGCAATGTTCTCCAATAGCCTTACCCCTGCTATCTTGTTTTCTTCTGCCTCATCTGGTTGCTAGTTGCCATTTTCCAACTCACAAAACATTGTTTTTGGAGGAAAAAAAAGGGGGGGGGAGTCAAAATCCAGATTCACCTCCATACAAAAGTATTGAATTTTTGTTAAGAGAACTGTGTCAAGCCTTGAACACATATCTGTTCTGTGATGAATATACTACAAGATGGCTAGTTTTCTCTGTGTCCTGAGACTGGAGTTCAGTGAAGGTATAGGATTTTATTTGGTTTCCAGAGACACATGCTATATAATGACAGCTCTCCTCCTTTCACTGGCTAACTGCAGGGTGTATAAGGGCTGCAAGGTTGAATGAATTGTTATCTACTAAGTCAGACTGAGCAGAAAATTATTTAATGCAATGGCTCTCAACCTGTAGGTCACAACCCCTTTGGGGGTCAAACAACTCTTTCTGATGAAAGGCTACTACCTAAGACCATCAGAAAGCACAAATATTTACATTGCAGTTCATAACAGTAGCAAAATTACAGTTGTAAAATAGCAATGAAAATAATTTTATGGTTGGGGTTACCAAAACATGAGGAACTGTAGTAAAGGGTCACAGCATTAGGAAGGTTGAGAACCACTGACTGTATGGGACTTGTCATAAGAGCAAACATTTCAGAAGTTGGATATGATAGGGGGCAGTCTTGGCTAAATTACATTGAATCTTCTCTTAGTGCCTAAAAGTTCTCACATGTCCCTAAGAATGAAGAAGGGTTAGCCTTCCCTGACAATGCCTGGGGAACTAATCATTCATGTGAGGGAGAGGTTGGTCACTCCAACTTTTAGACCTGTATTCTATTTCCCATCACCTTGAGCTTTATGGACATTTAGGGAATCTCTTAAGCCATTATTGCTACAGAAGCTAGAAAAGTAGGTGGCATATAAATATTCTTCCACAAGACAGATAGTTAAGATTATTTAGATACATCACATAAAGATTCTGGGTAGAAAATATGCTTTGATTTCTTTCCAATCTAATACTGGGGAGCAGATAGTATAGGTTAATGTCCTGTAAAGAAGTCATGTTTGACAGGCAGTGGTGGTGCATGCCTTTAATCCTAGCACTTGGGAGACAGAGGCAGGTGGATCTCTGTGAATTTGAGGCCAGGCTGGTCTACAGAGTGAATTCCAGGACAGCCAGGGCTATGCAGAGAAACCCTGTCTCGAAAAAAAAGTCAATCTTTATCTTTTTGAGTTCATAAGAAAAGCAATCACAGGAATTTTAAGATAAGAAACTTTGTTTTCAAGCTAATTAATTGACTAAATTGCTGTCATATTTCAAAAAAATCATAAAAAGAACAACTTTGAGTTCCCTGGGACCCTTCTGGCGGTCTATACCATCCCAGCATCTACCCTGCTCGACTGTTGGAACCTGCCCCCAACCACAGGGGACCTCTTCCACTCAGGCATGGGCTACACCAGTCAAAACTTGTGCATAACCCACCTGCTGGTGAAGCTGTTCCCCTCCCTATATTGGGTTCCCAAGGACCCTTCCCATAGCTCATTCCATCCCAGCTTTTCCTCCCCTACTGCTGGAACCTACCCCCAACCCCAGGGACTTCCACAACCCAGGCACAATCCACACCAGTCAGAACAGGGGAAAGCCACACCTTCAGCCAAGTGGCTGAATACAAAATTAAATTAAAAAATCAGTAGCACACCTATATACAAATGATAAATGAACTGAGAAAGAATCAGGGAAATAGCACCATTCACAATAGCCACAAACAACATAGAATATCTTGGTGTAACTCTATTAATCAAGTGAAAGACCTGTATGACAAGAACATCAAGTCTTTGAAGAAAGAAGTTGAAAATGATCTCAGAATATGGAAAGGTCTCCCATACTCACAGATGGGTTGGATTAGCATAGTAAATGGCCTTCTTATCAAAAGCAATCAACAGATTCAATGCAATCCCCATTAAAATCCCAACACAATTCTTTACAGACCTTAAAAGAATAATACCCAACTTCATATGGAAATTTTAAAAAAAAAAAAAAAGGCAGCTAAAACAATCCTGTAAAGTAAAAGAACTTCCAGAGGTATCACAATCCCTAATTTCAAGCTCTACAACACAGCTATAATAATAAAAACTGCTTGATATTGGCATAAAAACAGATGGGTTGATGATGTAATTGAATCAAAGATCCAGATTTAAATGTACACACCTATGGACACTTGATTTTTGACAAAGAAGCCAAAATTATAAAATGGAAAAAAACATCTTCAACAAATGGTGCTGGCATAACTGGATGTAGAAGAATGCAAATAGATACATACCTATTGCCCTGCACAAAACTCAAGTCCAAATGTATCAAAGACCTCAACATAAATCCAGACACACTGAACCTGATAGAAGAGAAAGTGGAGAATAGCTTTGAATGCTGTGGCACAGGAGACAACTTCCTGAATAGAACACCAATATCTCAGGCACTAAGATCAGCAATTAACAAATGGGATCTCATGAAACTGAAAAGATTCTGTAAGGCAAAGGACAATGCAGCATCCCACAGAAAGGAAAGGATCTTCACCAACCCCACATCTGACAGAGGGCTGATCTCCAAAATATATAAAGAACTCAAGAAATTAGATATCAAAAAACAATCCAATTAAAAATGGGTTACAGATCTAAACAGAGAATTCTCAACAGAGGAATCTCAAATGGCCAAGAATCACTTAAAGAAATGTTCAACATCTTTAGCTGTTGGGGAAATGCAAATCAAACTACACTGAGATTCCATTTACACTTATCAGAATGGCTAAGATCAAAAACACAAGTGACAGCTCATGCTGGAGAGGACATGGAGCAAAGGAAGCACTCCTCCACTACTCATAGGAGTGCAAACTTGTATAGCCACTTTGGAAATTAATATGGTGGTTTCTCAGAACATTGGAAGCTGATCTATCTCAAGACCCAACTATACCACTCTTGTTATCCAAAGGATGCCCCACCACATCGCAAGTACACTTGCTCAGCTATGTTCATAGGAACTTTATTCATAATAGCCAGAAACTGGAAACAACCTAGATGTTCCTTAACTGAAGAATGGGTAAAGAAAATGTTGTACATTTACCTAATGAAGTATTACTCAGATGTTTAAAAACAATGACATCAGGAAATTTGTTAGCAAATGGATGGGACTAGAAAAGATCATCTGTCAGGAATTATTGCATGGGGGGACTCCCAAGGGTATCCTGCCTGTGCAAGGAAACATGTTGGGCAGATGCAGCGGTGGGCTAGGCAGATGCATGCCATGTGGGCATGACGGCAGCTACCAATAACTCACCACCCAGACACTGCATCCACGTGGAGAGTTTATTATAATAGAGAGATGAAGAGAAAGATAGGAAAGAGAGAGAGAGAGAGAGAGAGAGAGAGAGAGAGAGAGAGAGAGAGAGAGAGAGGTCAAGGGTGCATACCTCATGAGAGAAAAAGCAGAAGAGGGAGAGAGGACGGGGAGAAGTTTTTCCTTAGAATGAGACTTTTATGTCAGGACACAGGGCAGTGCCAAGGGAGTGGGATTTCAAGGGGCAGATCAGAATATTAACATCATCCTGAGTGAGGTAACCCAGACCTGGAAAGAGAAACATAGTATGTACTCACTTATAAGTGGTTATTACCTGTGAATTAAAGGATAATCATGCTTCAATCCACAGACCCAGAGAAGCTAGGTAGCAAGTAGGACTCAAGGGGAAATGCATGAATATTACTGTGAAGGGGAAATGGAATGGACATTACCAGTGGAAGTTGGTGGCTGGAGATAGGGTAGGGATGGAAACAAGAAGGATTTGGTGGGGGGAGGGAAGTGAGAGAGTACTAGGAGAGACACCTAGAATCTGGAGGCATCTCTGGGACAAGCTAGAAACATAGAGCAATGGAAACTCCCAAGAATCTATGAGGGTGACTCCCAGCAATGGGAAGGATACAGAGCTTGAACAGGCCATCTCCTGTAACCAGGTAAGACTAGTGGTGGAACTGGGACACCAACCCAGCCATGAACCCTTCAACCTACTTTGTCCTGTCTACAAGATGTGCTGGGGGTAAAGCAGAAATTGTGGGAGTGACCAGCTAATGACTGGCCCAACTAGAGACCCATATCCTGAGAGGAAGCTCTCCCCTAAGGGCCAGGACCCAGAGGAAGGGCATCTCAGAGACCTAGGAGAGAACCAAATACAAATGACAAAAAAGTCAATGAAATGATTCCTAATGATATTTTGCTACAATCATAGATTGGTACCTAGCCCAACTGTCATCAAAAAGGCTTCACCCAGCAAATGATGAAAACAGCCAAACATTAGGTGGAGTTCAGGAAATCCTGCAAAAGAGCAGGAGGAGGGATTATAGGAGCCAGTGGAGTTCAAGGACACCACAAGAAAACCCACAGAACCAACTAATCTGGGCTCATAGGGCTCACAGTGACTGAAACAACAACGAGGGAGCCTGCATGGGACTGGCCTAGGCCCTCTGCATATATGTTACAGTTTTGTAACTTAGTCTTTGTGTGAGACTCCTAAAAGTGAGAGTAGGGGCTATCCCTGACTGTGTTGCCTGCTTTGGAGACCCATTTCTCCTACCTGATTGCCTTGTCCAGCCTTAATAGAAGAGGAGACATCTAGTCTCACTGCAACTTGATACACCATGGCTAGCTGAAATCATAGGAGGCCCGCCTGTATCTGAAAAGAAACAGAGGAGGAAGAGTGGATGAGAGGGAGATGGGAGGAGGAGGAACTTCGAGGAGAGGAGGGAAGGAAAACTTTGCTTGGGATATAAAAATAAACAAACAAAAATAAACATCAACAAAAATGAACAACCTTAAAAGATTGGTATAATTTTCCTTTTGTTACAATAAAACCTTAGATTACAAAATCCCATGTAAACTTCTCTTTTCTTTGAAACAAATTCAAAGTAGGAAAGAGAAACTAAAATGTTAAGGCAAAAACAGAGCTAATTTAGGAGGGCAAAAATTCTGCATGCATATAATTTCTGCACATTACAAATATTTCAATAGCTCCTTCTGGAAAGTTCAACACAAAGAAACTACACTTAACCTTTAATTAAAGCACTCTGTGTTTGCTTTCTTTCTCCTTGATTTTCCACAATTGGAATGCAGCAAGAATACTTTCTTTTTCTTAGTGAATTAATATCTTGAAATTGGCATTATTTCTTATGCTGTATATCAATGAAGATACTATAGCCTTAAGAGTTTATAGGGTGTTAAGAGAAATTTTTTGAGACCTAGTTGCTCAATAACGTCTGCCCAATAATGTAGACGTTCCTACTAAATTTAGGAGCTTTTTGAAAGGCTGACTTTCAAAGTGGTCAACATGCATTAAACCTGAAATTAAAAGGTCATTGAGAGGTGTGAAGACACTCCAATTTTCAATTAAATTAAAGTAATTCCACTGTGAAAGACCTGTGTTGGAAAAAAAATGATCAGTACTGATTTTTAAAATGAAGTCTTCTTAAGGGTATTTGGGAGGGCAAATCTCTTTAAAATGCAAAATAACAGAGGACCACAGAATTATCTGGTCAAAGATACAATTATATGTAGCCTGCATTATGTGCTACATGTGTTACATTACTTGCTTCTCCTGAAACACCAGGGTTGTATTCTGGATTTCCTCCTTCTCTTAAAGATATACACCCCTCAGCTCTATTAGTGGCAGCTGGCAGGACTTTAGAGACTATCCCCTTTAGGGAGAAGAGGAACCTTGCTATCTCAACAGACTTCTTGGGACAGCTTTCTTGCAGACTTGTGATTGCGGGAACCTGACTAGGTGGTGGGGAAATCTGGCCACTGCTTCTTGGGGAGTTTTCAAGCTACCACATAAGCTAATAGCTTTGCTAACTTAGAAAGAACTCTTGGCTATCCATGTCCTTGGTCACACATGTCTCATCCTGAAAGCTTCTTAGAGAAATTCCAGGAGGCTTAGTGAGATTGGAGACAGCAAAAGGTCTCAGTGATATACATCAAATGCTCAAGAAAGCCAAGAGAACATCTTATCATCCAGAAGTGTTTCATCCTCTGCTCATGTTGAAGCCTTAGACAAATTATGAAGTAGGTGAAGTTAATTTTCATTGTCCTTTCTCCGTTTGCTTATCAAAATGAATAAAATGTGGAGACAAGACAAATCAATAAGCAGAATGACATGTTTATATATGAGATGTGAAAGCAGAGTGTGTTGGGCTAAGGAACAAAGGGGACTAGTGGACTGGGTTGTGGACAATGAGGGGAGAAGGATCTAAAAGAACAAAATGTGCATGAAAATTCAGAAAAAAAAAGCTAAGGTGCAGGCACACATCTTTAATTCCAGCACTAGGGAGGCAGAGGCAGGCAGATCTCTGTGAGTTCAAGGACAGCCTGGTCTACAGAGTGAGATCCAGAATAGCCATGACTGTTAAACAGAGAAACCCTGTACATGCAGGACCCATAGGAAGGTGACCACTGAACTTTGCTTGGCAAAATGGTCCTTAGGTTCCTGCTTCACAAGGAAACTGCCAGACATTCTACAGGACACAGAGAGAAATGACTGAGAGACTCTAGGCCAGTGGGCTGAAGACAGATGCCCCAACTTTACAAAGGAACATTAGGTGACTGTCTAAGCTGCCAGCTGTCTCTGTCTACCCTGTAAGACTCCTGAAAGTTGCTTGCATCCTTCTCCTGTTTCTCAGGTAATAGTATATCCTTCTGGGGTCTTTGATGTGGTTGAAGACTAGATGTTATAATTTCCTCAGTTATGATAAAAGATGGGTTAGATATAAAACCTTAGACTCACAAATATATGATAGATAGTATATCTTCTTTAATATTGTAACTGTAATTCTTGCTTGATAATTGTTTTGTTATATGTAGTTTTACTATGTTAAAGTTAAAATCTTCCTTTTTGAAAAAAAAAGAAAAAGGGGAAGTGGCTGATTGATTGATAAATAAAACACTGATTGGCCAGTAGCCAGGCAGGAAGTATAGGCAGGAATAGCAGAGAGGAGAATTGAGAGAACAGGAAGGCAGAGAAGAGGAGACGCCAGCCTGCCATCCAGGAAACATCATGTAAAGGCAGCAGGTAAAGCCACAGAACACGTGGCAACATATAGATTAGCAGAAATGGGCTGAGTATAAGTAAGAGCTAGACAATGGTAGGCCTGAGCTAATGGCCGAGCAGTTTAAATAATATAAGCGTCTGTATGTTTATTTTATAAGTGGGCTACGGGACTGCCGGGTCTTGGTGGGACCTGGAGAGAAAAACTCTAGCTACACCCTGTCTCAAAAGAGAAAGGAAAGAAGGAAGGAAGGGAGGGAGGGAGGAAGGGAGGGAGGGAGACAGAAATAGAAGGAAAGAAAAGGAAATGACATCATTAGTTTGTATGCCCCTTCTAATAGAACTAATAAAAGGGGAGAAATTGTCTGGTCTTTAAAAGAAATGAAATCCTGATAGGTACTATGACATAGATGCACCTGAAAGATAGTATACTAAATGAAATAAAGCAGACACAAAAGGGCAAACACTACATGATTATACTCAAATCATAGAGACAGAAAGTTGAGCAGAGGCTACTAGGGAAATGAAATTAGTATTTAAGAAATACAGAGCTTTTGTTTGGGATGGTAAAAAACTTTTAGAGGTAAATGGTAGTGATGGTCACAAAACAATGTGAATGCATTTCAAGATGATAAATTGTACCCTTAAAAGTGATCAAATTAGTCAATTTTACTTATGTGTATTTCCTCAGAAATAAAAGAAACAGCATATCATTTTATAAGTAATTTGAGCTAGGTGTGGCAACACACACCTGCACTCAGACAGGAGGATCACAAGTTTGAAACCACCCTCAACTACATGTGGAGACTCCTCTCATCTCAGGAAAAAAAAGGAGGTCAACTACCTGGACTGAGTCTACCAGGTTGATCTCAGTCCACGGGGGAGGCTTTGCCCTGGAGGAGGTGGGAATGGGGGGTGGGCTGGGGGGAAGGTGAGGGGGGCTGGAGGGGGGAGAACAAGGGAATCCGTGGCTGATATGTAGAACTGAACTGTATTGCAAAATAAAAATAAAAACTTTAAAAAAAAAGAAAAAAAAGCAGGTCAAGCAGTGTTTGCCTCTGTCTCCTCATCTTTTAAAAAATATTTTGATTGTTTATTTTATGTGTATGTGTGTCTGTGTGAGTGTGTGGCACATGTGCAGGTACTTATGGAAGCCAGAAGAGGACATAAAGTTCTCCTGGAGCTAGAGTAGCAGGTGGTTTTAAGACACCAACATGGGTGGTGGGAACTAAACTGTAGCCCACTGGGAATGCAGGAATCCCTCTTAACCACTGAACCATCTCTCCAGCTCTTCTTCACATCTTAAAATGGTGCAGAGATCCAGTAGTACAGTGGTGGCATGACTATTACAGGGATGACCAACTGTTCTCTGGTTGGGTTTGAGGCATGTTCAACAAGAGTTAATTCTGTAGGCTGTCACTTTGTCTTGTTGACCATGTCCTTTGCTCTACAAAAGCTTCTCAGTCTTACGAGATCCCATTGATTGATTGTTTCTCTCAGTGTCTGTGCTACTGTTGTTATATTTAGGAAGTGATCTCCTATGCCAATGTGTTCAAGACTACTTCCTATTTTCTCTTCTAGCAGGTTCAGAGTAACTGGATTTATGTTGAGGTCTTTGATCCACTTGGACTTAAGTTTTGTGCATGGTGACAGATATGGATCTATTTGCAGCCTTCTACATGTTGACATCCAGTTATGCCAGCACCATTTGTTGAAGATGCTTCCTTTTTTCCATTGTGCACTTTTGGCTTCTTTGTCAAAAATTATATGTTCATAGGTGTGTGAATTAATGTTAGGGTCTTCAGTTCGATTCCATTGGTCCACATGTTGGTTTTTATGCCAGTACCAAGCTGTTTTTATTACTGTAGCTCTATAGTAGAATTTGAAGTCAGGGATCGTGATGCCTCCAGAGGTTGTTTTATTGTACAGGATTCTTTTGGCTATCCTGGGTTTTTTGTTTTTCCATCTGAAGTTGAGTATTATTCTTTCCAGGTCTGTGAAGAATTGTGTTGGTATTTTAATGGAGATTGCATTGAATCTGTAGATTGCTTTTGGTAAGATTGCCATTTTTACTATGTTAATCCTGCCTATCCATGAGCATGGGAGATCTTTCCATTTTCTGACATCTTCTTCAATTTCTTTTTTCAGGGACTTAAAGTTCTTGTCATATAGGTCCTTCACTTGCTTAGTTAGAGTTACCCCAAGGTATTTTATATCATTTGTGGCTATTGTAAAGGGTGATGTATCTCTGATTTCCTTCTCATCCTGTTTGTCAATTGTATATAGGAGGGCTACTGATTTTTTTGAGTTGATCTTGTATCCTGCTATGTTGCTGAAGGTGTTTATAAGCTGTATCAGTTCCTTGGTTGAATTTTTGGGGTCACTCATGTATACTATCATGTCATCTGCAAATAGGGAAAGCTTGACTTCTTCCTTTCCAATTTGTATCCCCTTAATCTCCTTATGTTGTCTTATTGCTCTGGCTAGAACTTCAAGTACTATATTGAATAAGTATGGGGAGAGCGGACAGCCTTGCCTTGTTCCTGATTTTAGTGGAATCATTTTGAGTTTCTCTCCATTTACTTTGATGTTGGCTGTTGGCTTGCTGTAAATTGCCTTTATTATGTTTAGGTATG